CTCCACAACTAAAAACAAGAAAGTGAGTTGCGATGCTGAAAAATGTGCACAGGAAACGACAAAATTTGTAGAAAAGTACTGGTGTGACATTGGTTGTCAGACTGCAACTTTGGAATGTCACTGCCACTTAAACTTAACAAATATTAAAATGTTTTTCCCAAGACACAGAACTCAGGACCACAGATCTCACCTCTTCTGTGAGTAAGAATGTTTTGTACTTGCAAAGCTTCAGCAGTCTTTGGAGAGCTCACTCCTGCACTGGCTGATTAGGACCCATAATTAGTGTGCTTTGTTAATATCAGATAGAGTGAGGTGTTAACACCAGGCTGATTAGAGTGTATGTAACAAGATGATTGGGATGCCTCACAGGCCAAAGAGAAATATTCCTTAGTAAATTCTCCACCATGCAGAGAGAGAGAGAGAGGTAAGAGTTTATGGGGAGGAGGGTGGGTATAGAGGGGCTGGATGTAATTACTCCAGCATGCAGGCCCACAGGGTAAGGTCTGCCGCAGACAGCCAGGTCTTGCAATCAACTGACGGAGACTGCTGCAGCAAGGTGCTTGAGAAAGGGGTTGATTAAAATATTTCAGGGCTGTGTTCTCAGATGCTGTCTATCCTAGATAAACAGCATCTGGGATATTATCTACTTCTTTATGTAAAGGGAAAGAAGGAGAAATGGGGAGGGGAAATCACTTACAGACCATTATGTCAGTGTATACAGATTATACTAGTTCCCTCATTAACATACTGGTGAAAACAAAACAATTGTGTATTCTTAATGAAATAATACACTATACACAGCTGTAAATATTAATACACAATGCTTTCGTGCACTGTAGGTACACTTATTATGGCTACTGGCATTGCTGTTAGCTTGTAAACAATTGTAAATACAAAATGTTTTAATGAACTTATCAAACATATTTGTCATGAAATAATTGCTAATATATGACCTTTAACATTTCTAATGTCAAGTCAATCAACAGCATTGTGTCTGTGATGCTTTAGAGTGGATGTAAGCAGATTAGTTTGAGAGCATGCATTACCTGTCTGCCTTCCTTTTCTGCAGGTAAAGTGACTAAACAGGAAGTGACATGAAATGAACAGACAAACAATGTATTTGTATAATATATATTTACAAATGAGTATGTTAAACAATAAACTAGTTATTCACCATCATTTCCAACTAAAATTAAATATTTAAAAAGGAAATTTGATGGCCTTAAAGGCAACACAAACCTGTTCACCAGAAAGAGCTCAGAGCAAGGCCAAAGGCTGACTGAAGGAGGATTGGGACACTAAGAGCTCTGGTTGTATTTGAGCCTTCATACACATCCACAAATTAAGCATAGCGTTAGTTCAGGCAGGCCACGAAGTCAGACTCGGCTCTCAATTCCAGCTATATCATTCAGGGCGCCTTATTTAAGCTGCTTTAGCCTACCTATCTTTGCTGCTTCCTCTACAAGCCGTTTTGCAACCCACCTCCACCCCAGCTCCTCCTTTTTATGTTGTATCTAATTAGTCAATGTCATTTTCTGATTGCCATTGATGCTTGCTCTGTTCTGTACCCTGGGGGGTCTCTGCTGCCGCTCTCCTTGTCTTAAACTTTTCCATGTAGGCACGTGGAAGGGCAAGGAGGTCCCAGAACAGAGCCATACTGCCAAATGTAATATTCTGCTTTGGAATAAAAGTTATTATAACAAAAGTGGTCCTGACTGAACTATAGGACTGAAGCAGTGTGCTTTAAATGTACACTGGAGAGCACAGGGCCTCGCCAAATGAGTTCCCAAGAGACCTCCCTGCACCTGCAGTCATTTTTCAACCTTTTTTAATTGGTTCTCCTCAGTCACCTGATGCCCCGCGTGAACAGCCCACTCCTATTCCCCGCTCGTCAGATAGCAATGGTTTGTCACACCCCACAGCGTCTCATATTGACTCACAAGGTACCCTTTAGTGACTGTGTGAAACGCACTGGGCTGCCAGAAGGCCTTGTTTAATGTTTAATAACGTTGTCAAATACTGCAGTTTGGTAAGTGGCCCTCCGCTTCAAAATGAGACGCTGCCGGTAGCCTTTCCCTCTAGCATAATTTCTGGATGCCATCAAAGTCAAGTGATGTGTATAAAGAGCAAGAATATACACAAGTGGTGGGGTGGAAACCAAAGAGACTGCTGTTCGTGTCCTGTGTGGAACCAAAAGATGGAATTTCTTTTTAAGCCCACATGCAACGGAAATCAGAGAGCTATTTGCCTCTGCACATTTATGTATTTTCTGTAACAGCTGTAAAACCCATTAGCTAACAGGACCTCCCAGTGAGCAGTGCGGCCAGTCCAGGACTGAATGCAGCATCTAATGCTGACAGAGGACAGTCTGACAAAAGGGAATAAAGAACAGAGGTGTTTTTTGCCAGGTTTGGCTCCTGCCCCCCTGGGGTTAAGTCAGCTAACATTGGATGAGCTAACTAGCTAACAGCATCTAACTTTACTGTTGGTGACAGTTAGCTTCTTTGAGCAACAAGTCAATCTAGAAAACTCCACAAATCACCTCGGTTTGGTTGCACGCTAACGACAGCTACATTAGCAGTTAGCAGAGTTGAATCAGAGCAGCACGGATGACATCATAGGGGAAAACCAGACTATATTACCTCCATAGAATATGATCCAGTACCCAAATCACTTGTTATCCATTCCTGTTCAGCTCCCAGACCGTGGTCGGAAGGCACAGGGAAGATTTAGTTTTCTGCTGAAGTTGATGCTAACTTTGGGGCTAACCCCCTTCACTTTCTCTTCACCAGTTGGCAAACAACACATGGATTTTGATATGACAATACAAATAAATGAGTGTGTAAATGTTTTTGCATACATTGTTAAATAGGGGTCCAACAACAACATTAAAACAACATTTTTCATTTCACCTGGACTTTAAATAACTTTGACTTACTTTACATACTCAAGTTACATCAGGTACGTTACATACATAGATAGTTACCATGGCGCCGCCGCAAGTGGCAGCCCTTTCAGCAGCTCCGAGTGTGCAGTGATCTTTTTTGACTTTTTTGTTATTTTTATTGATGTTTGTTTTTGCTTTTTTATATTCACATTTGTGCCTTGTCAACTCTGTTCAACTTCTATCTGATAGATATGGATATTTATTTACCGAAACCAACTTCTCACACTGAAGACAAAGTCCTGGGCCGGTGTGATTTCCCAGTTACCTGATGAGGTTAGGAGACCCTATCATGGCAACAGAGCCGGCGCAAAGCTAAAGGCCAAGCGACTGGCGAAGAAGTGGCGATATAAACCCTCTGTACCATCGGTGACCATGGGTAATGTGAACTCACTACCGAATAAGATCGACGAACTGGCTGCGCTGGTGAAAAACGTTAAAATCTACAGGGAGAGCAGTTTGCTGTGATTCACTGAAACGTGGCTAACGGCTATCGTCCCGGACGTTAACGTTGAGCTACCCGGCTTCAGCACTGTCAGGTCGGACAGAGACACTAATGCCTGTGGGAAGCAGAAAGGAGGCGGACTAGCTGTATACGTGAACACAAGGTGGTGTAACCCTGGGCATGTCAACATCAAGATTTCCATTTGCAACAGGGACATTGAACTGCTTGCCGTAGGGTTGCAACCCTTCTACTTGCCCAGAGAGTTTGGACACGCCATTGTTGTTATTGTTTACATCCCACCACGTGCTGACGCAGTAGTCACATGTGACGTCATCCACTCCGCTGTAGCAGAACTACAAACACAGCACCCCGAGGCTCTGGTGTTAATCTCTGGGGACTTTAATCACGTGACTCTGGACACAACACTACCTGCTTTCTTCCAGTAGTGGACTGTTACACCAGGGGAAAAAGGACTATTGACCTACTGTATGCAAACGTTAAGGACGCATACAGTGCCACCCCTCTGCCTGCACTGGGGAAAGCTGATCACAACCTGATTCTGCTTCAGCCTCACTACAAACCAAGAGTGAGGAGACAACCCACAACAATGCGCTCATTCAGGAAGTGGTCTTTTGAAGCAGAGCAGGCTCTAAGAGACTGCTGTGGTAGTACGGACTGGGATGTATTGCAGGGTTCGCACTGTGAGGACACCGATGAGGCTGTTGACTGGACTGTATGTATGGATGTTGTTGTATTGTAAGAACTGTGCGCTGCTATGCAAACAACAAGCCCTGGATTACAAGTCATGTCAAGGGCCTTCTTAACCAGAAGAAGAGGTCCTTTAAAGACGGAGATCAGCAGGAGCTTAGACGTGTTAAGAGGAAATTCAGAGTCCAGCTCAGGGAAGCGAAGGAGCAGTACAAAAGGAAGCTGGAGCAGAAACTGCAGAACAACAGCATGAAGGAGGTGTGGGATGGGATGAAGACCATCACCGGCTGCAGCTCAAAGCTGACCCACATGGAGGGAGATACGGAGAGGGCAAACCTGATGAACCAGTTCTTCAGTAGGTTCGACCACCCCATCCCGTTAACACCTCAGGTCACCATACCCCCTTCTGCTGCTGTCTCTCTCTCGCTCCCCTCAGGAGCCACAGAGGAGCTGGTTGTCACACCCACTATTACAGCAGCCCAGGTGTGTGGAGAGCTGAGTAGGCTTCGTCCCAGCAAAGCAGCAGGTCCAGATGGAGTATCCCCTCGACTTCTGAAGGCCGGTGCGTTGGAGCTGGGACTCCCCCTACAGCACATCTTCAACCTGGGCTTGGAACAGGGGAGGGTCCCTAGACAGTGGAAGACATCCTGCATCATCCCAATCCCAAAGAGACCACACCCTGGTGAGCTAAATGACTTCAGACCGGTCGCCCTGACATCACATGTGATGAAGACCATGGAACGGCTGCTGCTACACCAGCCACAGGTCTGCCACGCCCTTGACCCACTGCAGTTTGCCTACCAGGAGAAGGTGGGAGTAGAGGATGCCATTGTGTACCTCCTGCACAGATCCCTTTCTCACCTGGATAGGGGAAACGGTGCTGTGAGAATTACATTTCTGCACTTTTCCAGCGCCTTCAATACCATCCAGCCTCAACTTCTGCAATACAAACAAGCAGACATGGGAGTAGACTCACATCTGGTGGCATGGATAATGGACTACCTAACAGACAGACCCCAGTATGTGCGACTGAGGGAATGCAGGTCTGACACTGTGGTCAGAAGCACAGGAGCGCTGCAAGGGACAGTGCTCTCTCTGGTCCTGTTCATCCTGTACACGTTGGACTTCAAATATAACTCAGAGTCCTGTCACGTGCAAAAGTTTGCAGACGACACGGCTATTGTGGGCTGTATCAGGTGTGACCAAGAGGAGGAGTACAGGAAACTCAGCCAGGACTTTGTCACATGGTGTGACTCCAACCACCTGCACCTCAACACCACCAAGACCAAGGAGATGGTGGTGGACCTCAGAAGGCCCAGGGCTCACCCGGAACCTGTGACCATCAACAGTGACCATGTGGAGTTGATACAGACTTACAAATACCTGGGAGTACACCTGGATGATAGGCTGGACTGGACTGCCAACACAGACGCCCTGTGCAGAAGAGGTCAGAGCCGATTATACTTCCTCAGAAGGCTGGCGTCCTTCAACATCTGCAAAAAACTGCTGCAGGTGTTCTATCAGACTGTTGTGGTGAGTGCCCTCTTCTATGCAGTAGTGTGAAAATATTCTGTGCAGACTCCAGATTGAACTTCACGTTCCATCAACATTGTCGATTAAGGAGGACATTCACATCTGACGCTAGGACAACCATCTTTGAACAGAAACAGGGGTTGCTGTAAAGCTTGTGTTAAAATGATTTTGTCAAATGGGAATATCTAACATAAAGACGGGTTTTGTTTTATGGCAACCATAATGTTTCAAGATGAACCTGCTAATGAGTGACGTTTTGTGAGCATTTTAATGAGTTTTATGAATATGAACAGGTTTTATGTGTCTGTTGGTCTCATGTTCAGCAGTAAAACCATTAGTTGTGCTGGTTGATAACAGTTTTATTTCATGTTTTTTAAACAAACACATTGATTTCTGGACCAGAGTAGAGGATGGATACCTTTCACAAACATCTTTTATTATCATTATTTGAAAATACAAATATAAAATTATACTTTCAACATCTTGGATGTGAGAGACCCCCATCCACTTTTTTTCTTTTTTTTTCTCCTTTTTTTTTTCTTTTTTTCTACAACGGGGCTTGAGCAAGCCATACAAGAAGACCTGAAAGATGCTTTCAGACAGTCAGTCCATTCAGTCAGCTCTCATGGTAAAAAGTCATTAACAAGTTTTAACATTAAAAAATGGGCAAGTGGTAGGAATGGGCAAGGCAATCAGAGACCTCCAGATGGAGGACAAGCTTCTACTGCTAGATGATAAGACATGAATGACTGAACCACCTCTAAAAACATGAAACCTTCAAAGTCAGAGGAAATTGTGCCACTGCTGGTAACGCTCCAAATGAAATTATTATTATACTTAAGTGTAATTTCATCTGCTTTATGGGAAAAAGTTAGCATTTCCCCATAAAGCTATATGTTTGTGTGTATATACCTACACAGGCTTAAACCATTGATCTGTGTGTACATGACCTAACAGTGGGCATGAGCTGTGTTACAGTGTCAAGATGTGCTGTTGGCCATTACCTAGCACTTGCCTCAAGATTCAAGTTTAAGTGGATCAGTAGTACACTCACAATACATATTCCAACACCTTCAGATCACGTTTGTTTTGCTTTTTTTAGCCAACTATTATCCAATGATGAACTCATCTAACAAGATGTGTAACATTCATTAGCTGTAAACTGCTGTCAGTATTAAAGTAAAGTACAGCAACAACAGAGCCATGCTACCTTAAAGTGCGAGCGGTAAGATCAAATAAAAGCCTGAATCTGAAGCAATGAAGGTTTACTGTATAAGAATATGGAACTGGATCAGCTACTCTAAAGAGGAAACAGCTCATACTTTTATAATACTTGATTCTCAAGTTGACCAAGGCAGGTTGATATTAACACAGTTTGTATAACCTGCTGTGACCATGGGGCATGCATATATATGGATATACTGTATAACAGTACAATAAACTCCCTCACCAATGTCCATAAAGACACAGTACTTTAGTACTGAGAAAGCCTTATATCTGATAAATCACAGATCTAAAATGACCTATTCTATAGAAGCATACATGTTTTTGCACACACATACACACACACACAAACTGGGTTTCCTGTCCTGTAAAGTACTAGTAGAATTGCATTTTTGTTATTATTTAAGCAAGACTCCACTTCACTTCACAGACCATTTACAGATATTAAAGGGATTAAGAATTGGGAAAAGCCTGGTAGTTTATGTTTTGCATATACTGTGAGAGAAAAGTACCCAGAGAAGCGCCCTCAGCCACACACACAGGTAGAACATGCAGACTCCACACAGAAAGGCCCCAGATGGCCAGCAGGTTTGAACCAGAGCTACAGCTATACACCTGTGGTGCTTTCAAGACAAAAGTGTACTTTGTATATGGGCTTAATAAAATTAATTTGACTTAACTTGACCACCCTAATCTGGCATTATGTATTCCACAAATTATGGTGGCCCCGAGCGCTCAACACACTGCAACTTGACCTCTTAAAAGGTGAAACTACAGTGGCCCTATCTAGAGCCAGTGTTTGGTTTGTCCTTTACTGTAGCAACATTGCAGTTCAACATGGCAGACTCCATGGAAGGTGACCCTTTTTTTTGGCTGTGTTCATCACTCTTTAGTGTCCCCTGGACACATTGTTGTCTGTGCTACCTGTGGTGTTTCTGCATTTGGTTGTGTGTTCTTTCTGTGCAGTGATTTTTCCAAATGATCTGCGTGTTGTCAAATTGTTTTTTTTTTTTTTTTTTTTTACTTCCAATGTTGAATACCCAAAGGCAATGTGTTTTTTTTTAAGTATTTGCTTTCCTTTTGTCTATTATCATGTTTTTTCTTCAGGTGCAGCTTATTGAGCTCTCAGGGCCAAAAAGCATTATTTGTCACTGGCATATGAACATAATTTGTAGGCCGCACTGTGTTTACTGTTTCAGTCACTACCCCTTCTATTCAGACCACCACAGTTATCTGCACACTGCTGTGAGTCCAGGAAAGAGTGTTATTGCAAGTCTGTACAGCTGTGTAAGTATTTTGGCAAGTATGAGTAGTGCTTTGAACTGCAGTAAACTGGATAACAAGCTTTTGTGATTGGCATTCTAATGATGTTGATGATTGATTAAAGTATGAGCTGTTTCCACAATTCAAGAGCAAATAAATCAATCATTTAGGTTGAGTTTAAACTAAAATAGTAAAAGTACTGAAGTAAAAACAAACAGTATTCAAAAAGTAGTACCATCGGCCACTGGGATATTTAAGAATACAAATATCAAAACATACAGCTCAGATTAATGTATAGCCATTGTTATTACTGTCATTATCATTAATCTGTTATGACTATATAAAAATATGTTCTTTAACTCAAATTATATCCTGACAAATCAAAGTGTTTTGCATATCTAGCATTAGCATTTAAGGTAGTATGGCAAACCCCCTTTTTTTTATAACATTCAAGGGTGGGGATCCAATTAATGCCTTGTTTACAAGAACAACTTACAGCAAATCTTCCGTCAAATGTTTTCAATAAGAGCTTTGGTTCACATGAGAGCAGCACAGAACAGAAAATGGACAGGAAAATAAAAATACAAGTGAAACCCATGTCAGCTTTTTTTTTCCCCAGATGGAAAAATGAGAAGGTTCTATCCTTACTGGTCCTAGATCTAATGAGTACAAGCTAATAGTATCTACTGTGACTAACATCTATTACTAGTTACTAGGAGAAAGAGTGAGAGGAGAGACAAAGGTAGTGACAGTTTTAAAGGTTAACAAATCTGTGTATAGACCACTACACTGGTATCAAAGACAGCACTCATATATAAGGTCATTTCTTTTGTATACATTACTGAAATACATTAATGATCAACTAAAGATCATTGTAGGGGATGACTGGGAATGGAGAGAGAACTGGATGGCTATACAGTACATAATTATTATTGGTAGTTATATAGATATTATTCATATAATCATTAACAACCACAAAAATATTGATACAAATCCTTCTTAGAAATGTAAATCATCATACAAGGGAACATACATGTTTCTCTTTTTAATTAACGACATATACATTTTATTTTTTTATTTTTTGGATTATTACTTACTCCCCATTTTAGAAACAGTCCAGCTTTCAGCTTCCTGTGGTTTGTAAAAGTAATTTCTAAAATATCTGTATTATTAGCACAGAGAGGAAGAAAACAGCATATACATTTATCAATTTATAAACCATTTCAAACTTTAAAGAAAGACTGACTCTTTAGTTATAGCAAATTCCTATTACATGAAATTATAAATAACATCCTTTACATTTTTTTTAGAGTTGTTCCGATACCAGGAAATTCCTCCAATACTGCCTAAAATGTGCTTGGGTATTGGCAAGTACGCATCTGTGCACCAATCTGATACCACGTAATTTATTATTGCAATGTATGTTGCAATATAATTGCCTAATCATTTTTAGGCTTTTACAATGATTGGTCATATTTGCAAAAACGTTGCAGTGATCAGACAAAATTGCAATTTGAATTTGCATTAATTGTTGTGATTGCAACTTCCTGGAGTGACTGTTGAGTCTCATTCCCAGGTGACTCAACAATCAACCGACCCAAACCATCAGTACTGGACAACCTGGGAATGAGACTCAACAATCAACTATATTTCTTGGCTCTGATTGGTTGTTTTTGTTCAGCCGCGGTAGATTCTTGCAAATGCCATTAGGACAGTGTCTGTTTCGTGTACTACTGTCAGGATATAGTAAAAGTTTGAGCAAATATGACAAAAAGTTATTTTTTATAAAAGTTACCTACCTACTACTGTGCTTAGTAGTATATGTTTAAACGTTAAAAAATAAAAAAATATTATAATTTAAGCACATGTATCGGATCGGTACTCAGCCGATACGCAATGTTTAGGTATCGTAACCAAAGGAAAAAATGGTATCGGAACATCTCTACATTTGATGTAATGCTTGTATGAAAATCTGTTTGTACGCAGTGATGGCAGCTCAACCAGTGGTGTGCAGGCAACCGTCAAAATTTAAAAACAGTAAATAAAGGTCCTGACATTTGTCCTGACCAAAAGAATGAGTTATAAATAAAAGTCCACTGCAAAGAGCCAACTAATGTGCAAATGAAATCCACTTTCAGCCTTACCTCGAATAACAGTGCAACAACCTCACTCTGTCAGGCAGACATAATGTGACATTCATACAAGTTCTCTGGTTATCGTTACAAAACACACAGGACTGAGGTAATAAGCAACACTCAACTGCTGCACTCCTTCCTCCTGGGAAAGAAACGCAATTTGCAAAAAAATATTCTTGAAATATTGCCTTTTGTGTGACACCAGACAGGTAAAGACAGTTATATCAAACAAACATCGTCTTTGTGAAATGTGAGGATACAACACGGTTCGTCTAGTATTCCCAAAACTATCAAGTGTGCTTTGGATTGGTTTCTTTTCATGCTACTGAGCTCCAGAGTCGCAGTGACGTAGAAGAATGAGAGTGCAGATCCACGACGCCAACCTTGTGTCGTCTTTTTCTAATTGTGCACACTATAGCTCACTGTGTAGACAAATATGCTGGTATCAAATTAGCCACAGTTGGAAAGCAAAAGAGCACATACACAGCTAACCAACAGCACAGGATCTGTCATGGTATTCCTCAGGCACTGAGGAATATTGTCCCTCTCTAAAGCACTATATGCAATGACTGGAACACAATTTACAGTAATACATTTCTTCTTAAATCTGACATAGAATTAAAAGCACAACTTTTTCTATCATTTTCTCCAGACAACAAAACATTTATAAAACAGGACTGTGAAAATATTGTAGTCCTCTTATTGCCAAAAATGGGTACGTTTAGTGACCACATTGCTAGAACCGAAGCTACTGGGTGTTATTGGTTTGTCTTGTGTTGTTTAGATACATGAACCAGTACCGTGTCCACTGAGCCACAGTGGTTTGTATGTGCAAACTGACAATATTTCAATCGCTCGAAGATAAAAAAAGACGTGTCCACAGTGTCTCCGCAGACATGCACGCAAAAAGAGGTGTAGTGAAACGTACATTGCTTTTTTTTTAAGTGAGGATCAAAAGAAACAAACTTAATAATCAGAACTAAATACTTTTAAAAATGTTTCATTATTGATTAAGCCCAGGACAAAAAAAAGTCACAATCCAAGAAAAGCAATTTAAAATTAAATCATCAAAATTCAAATATAAACCAGCAAATCTCTACACATGGATACTAGCCTACAGTACAGTCAGAGGGATCTCCATAGCAGGTCGGGCTTTATACCACTGCTGTACTGACTGACGTCGTTTTTTTCTGTGATGATTTTCTACTTTTGTTTTCCAGCTGTTCTTCATCTGGTGCCACCTCCGCTCTGGCTCACGTGGATGCTGTAGTGGTTAGTGCTGGATGGCATCACCTGTACACAAAAGCAGTATTGAAAGTCCGGCCTGACTTCTCCACAGCCTCCTGAAATATTCTGCTGGCAGCACAGACACACAGCCGAGAGCTTCAACCGCATTTTACTTTCCTCTACAGAACATTCATTGGGTCTCTGTGGATTTAACACACAACAACTCAAGGTATCTGTAGGTTTCATAGAGCCACACTGGGCTCACTTTAAGACCAGATAATGTCTGTTTTTATTGATTGCCCACAGTGGTTCTCAAATGTATTTCATTAATGAACCCCCTCTGAACCATTGTTTTAGCCCATTACCCCCTGAACATTGCAAAACATTTTTGGTAGAAAATAATTCAATTCAATTTAATTCAATTCAATTCAATTCAATTTTATTTGTATAGCGCCAATTCATAACAGAAGTTATCTCAGGACACTTTTCAAATAGAGCAGGTCTAGACCGAACTCTTTATAACATTGATATGATATGATGTCATAATATGCAAATTAGATGGGAAAATTTACTCCCTAGATAAACTTTAGGTCATTCTCAATATTTGTCTCATTTACACTTTGTCTCTATCTCAAACCACTTTCAAGCCAGAGCCTTTATAAAGAGGTAAACATTGAAGCTGCATTGAAATGCATCTTTTTGATAAGTTGCACTTGAAGTTTAATGAGAAACATGAGCTTGTGCTTCAGTGAGGGTCTTCGTTTGAGTTTTATAAAAAGTTTGCTTTTAGGGACTTAAAAAAATTATTAAAAAAATACAGATTACAATCATATATGCTTGATAGGCTTCTGTTTTCTTTTTTTTTACAAATACAGTGTTGTCTCTACATTGTTTTATTAGATCTTTGGTTGTTTACCTTTAAGGATGAGGTCTTCACTGTGTCCCTATCTTGTAAGATTTTTTTAGAATAACATCTTAAATAATAATTTGGTTGTTTTAACTTTCCTAACGCAGGATGAGCCTGTTTATCAGAGAGTGAATATAGCTTTCCTCACAGAAATGAATGAAATGCTGAGATATAGGCCTACTGTGTATTTTAAAAAGAACATTTCTTACACCCCTGAAAATCAAGAAGGCCTCGCCATGCCTTGTGAAGCTTTGGTGACCTCTAGTGGGTTCCAGGACCCCAAGGTTGGCAACCAGTGTCCTACAGCTGGCCCATGACCTTACATTTGCTAAACATCTTTACTCACTTAAATAAAGATTAATTATGTTTTTCTTTGGAGACTACTGGAATTTTAGTAAAAAGACTATAATGATGTGTTAAGAAATAAGTCAATGGAAAGATGTAAGTATACAAAAACAGAAAAATTTACTCTAGGTAATGTGAATAATGTGAATTTAAACTATGTTTTTATGTTACAACTTCAACGAGCTTTTGCTGCACTATGACTCCACTCAAACTATATAGCAAGAGAAGAAAAGGGAGAGGGGTCAGAGAGGACAGTAACAGAAAGAGTACTGGTTCCTTCTCTGGGGACCTTGAATATCCACGGAACATTCCACATCTGGCCGATTTTGAGACATCTTATAGACCTAGAGCAGTGTTGGAGAGTCAACCAAGTGAATCACTATAAGGAAAATATTCCTTTTTGTGAAATTACATAATTTGCTTTACTATCTGCCAAAATACCACTGGATGTTAAAAAAAATCTGACAATATCTTTGATTTTATATTTGGTGATACATGGTGAAACATTTCCTCTGATCTTTTACAGACCCACAGATACCCTGTTATGTCCTATCAGGGTGACATTTAAAACAACTGATCAGACTGAGACATTAAAATATCGAGCATGCCATAAACCTTCTGTCAGCTAGATGTAACAGCTCTTTTAATGTCCACCTCAACCATAATCCAACACAATGTTACCACAGTTTTATTTGCAGTGCAACCTGGATGTATGGTTGGCAACTATCAGCAATTAAATGAGAATTTGTTTTGTTTTCATGCTTGAAAGTAAACTGAACATTGACAATACTCTTCGCACAAAGCTTCATAGGAGTTGCAAATGTATGATTCCATGAGCTGGATACATGCCTGGAGGGGCAGGAGCAACCTTCGGTATGACATTCCTGTATCTAGCATGCAAACGTGCTCCTTATACAGCTGTCTGAACTTTCCACGATTATTGGTTTTTATTGGTGGAGCTCATTTAATTATTGTTTAAATTATTGCTCTTAACTTTTGATCCCTTGCAAGGTTTGATTAAGACATGAAATCAGGTGATTACACTGATCTTCCTTTTAAACTATAAGTTACATAACATATGCTTATTAAAATGTCTATAAACACTAGAGCTATGTCCTATATGTAGTTGAGTAGTGTACATCGATTATCCCAAATATTTCCAACAATGTTTAAACTCAGAGAAATCTGACAGGTCGTCTGTCTATGGCGTCATATCCCCTTTGTGCGTGCGTCAGCATTGTGGTTGTCTGCCAGAAGCTGTCATACATTGACTTTTTATCCAGTTTGAAGCCACATTTTTATTAAATAATAATTTTAATTATTTGATAGGGACAGCCAAAGTCAGACAGGAAAGGGGGGTAGAGAGAGAGGGGATGACATGCAGCAAAGGGCCACAGGTTGGATTCGAACCCTGGGCCACTGCAGCAAGGACTCAGTCTCAGTACATGGGTCGCCAGCTCTACCGACGGAGCTAACCGGGTCCTTCAAACTTTGCCTTTTGATCCTTGCTTAGGGATCAAATTAGACAAGCACAACTTACTTCCTGTAGGTTTTACTTCAGAGTTCACAAATAAAGTTAAAGCTTAGAGGCTGCCGGGAGCATTCCATTCAGTATGAGTGTGTCAAATCAAGTCTGTTTTAATTTAATATTTCACTATTTTATTTATTCATCAAAATAAGTTCAAATTCAAGAACACATTTTGACATGTTGCATAACTCAAATACAAGTAGGACAAGTGTGAGGGCCTCATAAAGTCCAGGTTTGGGACCAGATGGAGTTCCAGCACAGAATCAGTGCTAGGCACAGTCAATTAATGTTATGTATGAGCCTCAATTAAAAACACAATTTAAAAGCTCCTTTTGACATGCAAAAAGGAAGGAACTGAACCATAGGGATGAATAATACTACCCTCCTCCCTTCCATTTGGAATTCCAAACTAACTGTCAGAGAAAGCAACAGTGTGTAAAGTAAAGCATGCATGTATGCATATATGAATCACACCATGGTTGGTTAATACTGCAGTTCCAATGAAAGGATGCCTCAGTATTAGTTTACAACTTTTCAAAGGGCTTGCCATTCATACTACACAGCCGTGCTGGCACAAACCCTGTGAATAGCTGTGACATTTTATTTTGACGGACAGCGTCCACAATAAATATAGAAGCCGAAATGAAAGGGAAAATAAGATGTGTAAAAGGGATACAAGAACAATACATGTCAGTATGGGCAGATAGGGTTGTGATATAGAAACAGCGAATAATACCTCAAATGAGATGGCAACCAGTCACCTCTTAGCTTTCAATGGTATCCGTTTGTAAAAGCTGTCGCAATCAATGGACCCTAAAATGTACAATTAGTAACTGTGTCAGTATACATTTCTTGGAAAAAAGGCAAAAGGCAGGGAACTACTGAGTGTTGTTTATTCAGAAGATGTGATGCCAGCATGAATGGATATTCATCTCTTACTTTAACAGATGACAGACAGGGTGTGTATAAAGGTTAATTTGAACTATTACCCACAATCTATACCAAATGTATTCTACTTTACCTTCTACCATCTACTTTGCATAAGAACTATTTACAAACAACAACAAACTTATTATTATTGTTTCTATTTCCTTCTTTTTGTCTAGCAACTTTCAATAAATTATTTCTGATTGTCCAAACATTTATACTAAAAAATGTGTTTACTGTTAAGACAATTCATAGTGGACAGTTGGTCAGTTGCCGTCCGCTTCAAAATATGACGCTCTAGGCAGGGTTCAAGTTATGAGCTCCCATGAAAGCTGTAAAATCCTACATCTGTGGGGTCCCACTTATTACCACAACCATTATTTTCATGACAAATTATTCAATTCAATTCAATAAAATTTTATTTGTATAGCGCCAATTCATAACAGAAGTTATCTCAGGACACTTTTCAAATGGAGCAGGTCTAGACCGAACTCCTTATAACATTTACAGAGACCCAACAGTACCACCATGAGCAAGCACTTGGCGATGGGGGCAAGGAAAAACTGCCTGTTAAGAGGCAGAAACCTAGGACAGATCCTTTGGCTCTAGGTTGTTGGTCGTCTGCCTCGACCAGTTGGGGTGAGAGATAGAGAGAGAGAGAGAGAGGAGAGAGAGAGAGAGAGAGAGAGACAGAGACAGACAAACAGACAGACAGACAGTTGCACAGCAACAACAGTTGCAACAAATTATGCGTTTTTCAATGTAAGCAGTATTATTGTCTGCAACGTTAACTACTACTCTATTAGAATCTGTATTGACTGTTTATTGGAATTAACAACATGTAAAACAATGCATTCTGCAACATAGCACACTTTCATATGATACCAAAAAGTGCAGAAATGCTTCTCCCTTTGAGTGAAGGGTCTCGGTTGGCATATATTAAAACTTTGTTGTAGTACCGTAGGGATGTTTCTGGATGTTGCAATCTCCTTGATACAATTGTTTCAAGTAGTAAACTGCTTGCATGGCTCAAACAAACACAGGGCCTAATCCAGGAGAGCGCTGTTTGTGTCCTGTGTGCAGGTACATAACGTAACTTATTAACTTACAGACTGTTCCTAAACCTAGTAGTTTTGGGGCCTAAACCTAACCAAACTGTGACCATTTCACAGCATTAAAGCTGCAGTAAGTAATTTTTATAAAACATATTTTTTGTTGTATTTGCTAAGACAAGTTGAATATTTATTGTTGCTAACTTGACCGGAGCGGAGCCTGTCCAGAAATTATGAAAGGGGATACCTAGAGCGTCATATTTTGAAGCTAAGGGGCAGTATTTGACGAGTGATTTTGACAACCCAATTTAGGAACCAGTTTTTCTTTTGGCTTCAGTCTAACTGCTTTTTATTTTAAAGTAAAATAATATAACATAAAAATTTCCAATATTTGTAGGGCTTTACAAGCAACACTTAAAATGCATGTTTTTGAATGTTTTAATGCTTGTTGTACTTGCATTCAACTTGTGCTTACAGTTACACCTTCGTATAACCTCCACCATGTTGTCAAGCCTTGACAGCAAGAAATTTGTCACACAGATCTTTCAAAAACATTGATCTCCAATCTCTGTATCATTTGCAGACATGTCTGTTTTTTTGGGTTCTATAATTTACATTGGAAATTTCTCTACTCAGAGCTTAGGATCACATTCATGCTAACATGTATTAATCAAATAATAAAAAATCACATGATGCAAATCAGTAATTATGCACAGATGTACAGAAGTGTGTTGCATTCACCAGAGGGGGAGTAAAACTTTGAAAAACTTTTCTTAATTGTGATTTCCATATATCATAATAACCCATTTGCAAGTCAAATACATTTTTTGTCCATTAAAGGATAAGGCTGGTGACTCAATATATCATTAAATCCCATTTAAAATCAAAACCAACAATGAATAGAGCTTTCTAAAGCCTGATATATCTTATTCCTCTGTGCCATAGAGCTTCACTGTTGTCCAAAAATGATTAAAAACAAATTAAAGGCGGGGTCAGCCACTCTGCAGAAAGAAAGTTGATTGTCCACCAAAATATATAAAGATGGTATAACTAAAAAATCTAAGTTTGGTTTTAATGAGTTATTTGAAACTATAAAAAGAGGGCGTCACGCAATGATTGACAGCTGAGCCCTGCTTGCGATTGAGTCAGCCGGGCATATGGGCAGGACCTTGATACCACGGCCAATCACTACCGTGCAGACTCTGGCTCCAAGTGGTGAAAGATGGCACCAGCTGTATCCCATTTTGGCTTAATTTTTGTACAGTGGGAGGAAGTGGAGACGTGACGTCATTCTTCATATGTCTATGGTTGAGTCTTTGTGAACCAAACAATGTGGCCCGGACACAATGTGACACAACAGGTGGTTTTTGTGCTCACAGGGAATGTGACTCAATCAACTATCTTTCTCTAGAATGACTGAACCCACCTTTAGTGAACCATTGCACTTGGTGACTGGTTCTTTCATTAGAATGAACATACACAGTTTTTTCTCAGTCCCACAGACACTGTAATGTTGCTGGCAATACTCATTAGAGCACAACATTTGTATAAATGTATTGTATTAAGATTAATCCTCTGTTTTGTCACACACCTCTGCATCTCCAAACAGATGCACAAGGTACCCCTTAGCGTCTGAGTGTAAAGTGCCAGAAAGTCAGCATCAGCAAGTTATAAGGGTGGATGGATGGGTCAAACAAACAGAGGACTTTCACCCAGAAGACCGGGTTTCATGTCCCTTTTGAAACCAAAAGTACGTTTTAAGTTGCATAAAATTATGTATGTGACTTGTGTCACTTAACATTTTTATTTGGGCTCAAACCATGATCTTTTTCTAAACCTAACCAAGTAGTTTTGTTAACCACACTGCCACCATTTCACAACATTTACCACATGTTGAAAAGGAGTCTCATACAGACGCTTAAAGGGTACCTTGTACTTCTATCTGAGAAAGCGAGTGGCGTGACAAAACAGGATCAGTATTTGACTACCTGGGATGAGAATGTGTTGATAATGCACAGATGAGTAAGTGGATAAATGGAAGAGAAGGTGAAAGCAGTGCTCTTCAGTAGATTTGTAATGCACAGAAATCTGTGTCAGGTCACCATTATCAGCGTAATTGTAAATCTCAATAGTCAAATAAAATTATGTTCAGGTTTTCTATTCAACTGATATAGACTATGTTACAAACTGTTGGAGGCTAATTTTAAATAAGTCTGATTATTCATTGAGCTAAAGGTGTTGAAACAATCGAACAGTAACTTAATAAATTAACTAAACAAGTACTGTTTTAAAGCCATGACAAACCTATGTTACATATATTTCCTTATATTGTATGGACAATATGCTCCATTTAAGCTGCAGTAGGTAACCTTTATAAAAATAACTTTGTGTCATATTTGCTGAAACTTTTACTATATCCTGGCAGTAGAGCATGAGACCGAGCCAAGACCGATCTGGCTCCTCCTAGTGCTCCTAATGGAATTTGCAAAAATCCACCAGGCCTGAACGAAAAACAACCAATCAGAGCCAAGAAAAAATATGTATATGTTTGTATAAAAATGACTTACTGCAGATTTAATGTAGCAAAGAAGCTCCAGACAAATTCATGTACAGTTCTCTCAACAGTCTAGGAATTTGCTAAGGAATTCAAACTCTCATAACGTAGTATTCATGACATGTGTGAACCAAAAAGCAGGTGGTCAAACACACAAAAGGCCTTGTTAACCTTAGCGTACTGTTGAACAGAAGATCAAAACAGGTAAAAGTGATATTGTGCTTTAGTCAACAGCTCTTGTTAGCCTTTGGTTTACCAGCTTTCAACTTCGGCTGATGGCATCAGCTGGCCAGACATCAAAATGCACAAAGAAACCTTCTCATAACAGTATTTTGCTTAGGGCTTATTACAATATTTGTAACTGATATTATTTTCTGTAGGGGACTCCCAGCTAGAGAGATTAGAACTTAAAATACTGACGTTCTACAAAGGTACGGTTTGAGAAATGTTACAAGAATGATAGAAGGGCCTTTGTTTGGACAAAGTTGGACTTGGACCAGTGCCATCAGAGAGGTGGTGATATTATTATAATAAATCAGCAGAGAAAGTTTTAGTGTGAAAAACAGAAAAGGGACAATATTCAACACTTGTCTGACTCCCAAGTCGTCAAATACTGCAGCTTGGTCAGCGGCTATCTGCTTCAAAATATAGCCATAGGTATCCCTCTAGTGTCATGAACGCAATCGAACACAGGACTTTAAGCCAGGGGACCACTGTTTGATTCCTGTGTAAAACCAAAGGTACAGCTGAATTAAGTTTTTACTTACTTTAAAATTACATATATGATTTGTGTCACGTAACATACTTGTTTTAGCCCAAACTATGATCTTTTTCTAGTCCTAACCAGGTCATTTTGTTGCCTAATCCTAACCATACTGCCACAGTTTCACATCATTAACTACCTGTTAAAAAGGCGTCTCATGCAGAAGGGTAATGGGCACCTCGTAATACACAGAGGATTTAAATTTAAAACAATTTTACGTGTGTAAAATCTAGGAGGATCTATTGGCAGAAATGGGATATAATACTCCTATTTTCATATGTGTATAATCACTAAATAAGAATCATTGTGCTTTTGTTACCTTAGAATGAAACGTTTTTATCTACAGACGCTGCAGGTTTCCTTCCATGGAGTCTGCTATGTTGAACCACCATGTTTCGACAGTATGAGCTACTATCTACAACTAGTATTTGGTTTGTCCATTCTGAGCGAATGGACAAACCAAATACTAGTTGTAGATAGGTCCTTTTGTGAGTTTTGCAGCCACAGCGTTTCTACACACTTAACCATCCTGTTCTCATTTCCAAGTCATCAAATACAGATAGCGGTGGCTATATCACTGCTAGATGCTACATAATTCTACACACTGGTCCTTTAGGTAACATACGTAAGTTTACTTAAGTAATGTACTTAAGTTACGTCAGGTACATAACTCAAGTAGTTTTCGTGCCTAAACCTAACCAACCATTTCACACCACATAAGCAAGTCTAACCAAACATTGCATATTTATTATTCCTAACTTCACCAGACATTATTTTTGCTAACTAGAACTCCGAGCCCTGTGTGTCCAGAAATGCCGTGAGAGGGATACCTGCAGTGTCATATTTTGAAGCGGAGGGCCACCGACGATGTTGAAATATTATTGAAGCTAACCTTGAACCCTGACCTTTCATCAACAAGACATTTCAGAGTGAAGTATTAGTGGACTACTGGTAGGCAAACATTTTAAAGCAGAAGTGAAAGTGATTGCACAATGTATGACAAAATTATTGATTCAAGAAGTGGAAAATTGAAGTGATTTCACCTAGCTATTTCCTGTCACATTCTTCTCTAATCAGTAGTGAAATAAGGAGAAGATGAAGGTGAGGAATGAGTTTAGCCACAAGGAGTTTGTGGAGAAATGTCATGAAGTGGATGATGATGATGATAATGATGATGAAAAAATAGATATACTTACTGCAATGCTGTGGCTGAAGCCAGAGCCTGGCTGAGGGCTAGTGGCACTGATGTAGTTGCCCACACCAGAGTCCTGACTGGTGGTTCCATAGAGGTCAGCTACAGGGCCAGGACTGTTGGCACCAGGAAAGGCTCCAGGCCGGGTTGGATTGGTTCCTGTTGAGGAAAGACAAGGAGAGAGGTTTGTCAGAGAAACTCTAACACAACGGGCACTTAGAGATGGAAGCTGACTATGACCTGGCACACATCAAGATACTTTATTTCACACAATCTTAATGCTTCAGTAATGATTTGGAGAGAATATTTGAGTTCTTCTCATGAACATGATAAAATGCAACGCATTATGTATGAAAGTAGCAGAGAAGCATCTTTCTGTTCACCAGTAAGTCATATTCCCTTCTATCAGGAGATCAGTTCAAGATTTTAGCATTTTGAAAAAAAGGCTGTGCTCATTGGCAGTGTTCACTTCCAGTGCATGAAAGAGTTAAACCAAGAAGAAAGCATAGAGGGCTTTTCAGATTGGAAAACAACAACCACCTGCAGAGGTCTCACAAGACTGCACAGTAGAAAGCAAAGCAGTCTACTCTGAATCAAGTGGCAAGCAGCAAAACGTTGACATGGTTCTAAGTTTTTCCAGGTTTGACATCAAACTATTACAGTGCACGAAAATGGGCATCTACCCCAACCACTGGCACATGTATTGCGAGGCTCTAATTTCTGAGCATTGGCTTGTTCCCTCAATGCCCTCAGTCACTTTGAAGATGGTCCAAAGATGTGCCTTTTAACTGTTATTAAAGTTATAAATGTCTAAATAAAATATTAAATGCCTTTTTAACCCTTTAAAGGTCCAGTGTGTAGCACGTAGTGGCATCTAGCCATGTAGTTGCAGACTGCAACTCCCTCGCTTTACCCTTCACTTCCAAGGAAGAATTATGAATGCCCCCATCTACAGCTAGTGTTTGGTTTTTGCCTTCTAGGCTACTGTAGAAACATGATGGTTCAACATGACGGACTCTGTGGAAGAGGACCCACTTCCTCTGTAGATATAAATGGCTCATTCTAAGGTAACAAAAACAAAACGATTCCTATAATCAGGTGATTATACACTAATGAGAAGTGTGAACATTCCAATTTCAACCAATAATATCATAACATCCATCCATCAATCAATTTTTCAACTTTGGTGACACAGTGCTAAAATTAATTCGTTAGCTAGCTAGCAACAGCATGGCTGCCTGTTGGAGGGGAGTGCTTCATGGTAGTTTCTCCCTTGGAAGGGGAGGGCGAAGTGAAGGAGTTGTGATATGCAACTACACCGCTAGATGACACTACATCCTACACACTGGAACTTTAAACATCAGGAGTGGATTAGGATGAGCAGTTTTGTGCTGCTTGGCGTGGCTGGTCTCGGCCTCTGTCCAAAATAGACCAGCTGCGTATTGTTCGCGGAGCAGATAAGAGAACTGCTTCTTGGACGCTTCTGAAATGCACTGCAGTGCCTCTGGTGGAAGCACCAGCATTGTCTAGAACGGCAGTGAACAGCTGCAGTGGCTGCGTCATGGCCGGAACGCATTGCAGCTATGCCTGGTGGAATCAAGCAATTAGAGTCCAAGTGTCCAGAGTGGCATTGTATAGAATAATCAAGTGTATATTATTCTATACAAGATGTTCCCATAATTACAGCTTACAGCTTTTTTCCACATCACACAAATGTAAATAAAAAACAACAAATTGCCTCACCTTCAGCCTCTCATTGGTATTCCCTGCTTTGCACTACAGAACCCTCAGACAGTTTATAAATGCCTGGCAGAGATTACACCAGGGAATTGGGCACAACACCCCTCATCTAATCAACACCTGTCACTAGTAGAGCCTCTACACTTCACCACACCAACACCCCTATCCCCCCAAAAACTCCCCCAGCTCCTTCTCCAGCCTCTTTTAAATATATGATTGGTGATTATCTTCCCCAAAGTGCTTGGGATATTGGACCTAGCCTGCTGCCTGACAGGCAGGAAATTACACAGGGTGTCCTGGGTAATGTGCGCTAAAAGATTGCAGGGGTGAGTCACATTTTTTGGACTCACTTCACCAGCAGGGGAGTAATACTGACGAAGGAAAGAACTGCAGACCACCACCCATATTGTGTTTCCCCGTTTGAGTCGTGTTAGAGAAGTAAAGCATATTACACTATATACTGTAGTATATGTTAGGGAGAGAGATATTAAGCAGTGCTCCTATTCTACAAACGAGTAAAACAACTGTCAGCCTGTTCTTACTCCTAATTCGTCAAATACGACAGCTTGGTCAGTGTCCCTGTGCTCCAACCTTGGACACTGTAGGTACCCCCTTTACACTCACTATACAGCGGCGTTATAGAGTGGAGGTTCTTTCCTCACAAGAAGAGATGACACAAAGCTGCCAGGAGTCATTTTTCATTAATTAATTGTTTACAGCTGACTTTAACTGTTTGTCACTTAAACTGGTGAAAGAGGGTTAACACTGGCTAAAAATGAGGATGGTAGCTATATGTTTTGTATAATGCTGTTTGCTAATGATAAATAGTCGAAGCATAAGGAATCCCTACATTTTGGCAACCTCAGTGTCTTAACTCAGTCACAATCACATTGAACACACTTTTCACTTGCATATGCAGCGGAATGCATTTACTGTTTGACTGTGTTAGCAAAACCTGAACAAGATGACATCGTAATGGTAGGATTTGCTGTATTGAATTACACTGGATTTAGCAAGGTGTTCCTAATAATCTTGCAACTCATCTTTCATCATGGTCAGCTGGGTGCGGCTCACCTGGCACCACTCCACTCCACTTTTGCAAAACAAAACAAAAAATACATGATACTTGGAATACCTGTAGCTTCTCATGAACACCAGCAACTGTCACAACCAGCTGTTCTTTCACAGTTTTCATTCAGTACATGCTCAAGTGATATACTCACTCATCATTACACATCCCTTGGATCAGTGGTCCGCAATCTTTTTGCTTAAGGGACCCTTTCTTTTTTTTAAATGACAACCATGACTAAGTGACATGTCTTATGGAGATTTTTTTTTTAAAACTTCATCCGGGATGATATTTCAGAAACCTTTAATGCAACTCTCGATTTGTATTATGTTTGTCTATATTTTTAACAATAATACATAATGAAAAGGCGTCTTTTTTGACAAGCTCTGTGTTTAAATTTTTCTAATGCAGGAAAAAGCTGTTTATTAGAGAATGGAGGCTTAATATAGCTTAAGTTATCTAAGTTCTCTGAGACCCCTCAAAATTAAGATGGCCTTGCGACCCTCAAGTCAGCTTTGGTCCCGACCCCGAGGTTGGGAGCCACTCCTCTGGATCCTCAAATTTCTTAGGAAATTACTAGTTACAAAAAGATATCCTCATTTGTCTCTTGTTTAAATAAATGGGGCTATTTGGGAACTGATGTAACTATGAGCCTACTTTAAACATATACAACTTGGGTCCTAAATCTCAAAAAGCCTCCATTGGTAAATGTTTGCACTAGATTTTCCACTCCTTCTATTTTGTGCTCCATTCCTAGAATATTAACGCAGCACAAGAGATGCTTACTGACAGATCAGCTTTTAACTGGGGAGGGTAGTATTTATCCATTTGATAACCAGTCCAGGTACAGCTCAGAAACAAGAACTGTGCTATTGTGACAATACTCCAAACATTCAGCCTTTGAAAACAAGTGATAATGACAAAACAACAGAAATCGAATGAACAATTCTCCAAAGGCAATGCCACGAAAAGCATGCACTGCATATTCTGGGCAAATTGCCAGCGCTGTCAAACAGTCATGCTTCACTGCTTTATCATCACCTTCCACATTCCTTCTGTCTCTTTCTCAAACTCTTGATGACTTGTGTTGTATGTGAGTCTACATGCATGTGTAGGAGGAGCAGACACATGGAGGAAATACACACCTGGGCTCTTAAAAGGGTCCGGGCTTTGCAGGTGGTGCTGGAGGGAGGTGGGAGAGTTGCAGGCCGAGCTGGCATGCTCACTGGGTAGGATTTGAGCAGCCGCCTGGGCCCCCAGGGAGCCATAGTCAGCCAGGGAGTAGGGCGCCCGCACGTCTCCGCTGGCCCCGGCCACGGAATACAACCCATAATCAGGGAACCCTGGGAGACAGGGGAGGGAGGAGGAGGAGGAGGAGGGGAGGGTATGGGACTCCATCATTGACTTTTATCATAACCTTGATTTTCCTTGAACAACTAAATTTATGTCCTAGTCTCTGTGTGTTGATGTCTTCCTGTTGTTTCCCCTGTCAAATCTGACTACTGCGTTGTGATCCACAAAAACATCATTCAAAAACTTATTGAGAAAAAAAAAGAATACACACCAGTTGACAACTACCTACAGTGATGTTTCAAAAGCATCATTAAAAAAAAATTGTACTAGAAACCAGCCAGAACCAACTGTACAAACAATCCCATCAAGCACCACTGAGGACGTCACTGCAATTGAGCTCATGTGCAATATACAACCAAGGAATCATAGTGTCATGATGAACCAGCACCAAAAAACACATAATTGAATTATATTTAACTTTCAGAAAAACGTTAACTGAACTGCAGTCAGTGTCCTGTTGCCCGCACTCACGAGTGAGCAACATCCTGGGCATGGGCCAAAAGTGACATATACTAGACTGAACCGTGGAAAATAAATTCATTTCAATAAATCATATTTAGAATAATGTTACTATCTGCAATGTTCCTATATTTTATTCGGACCATTAAGTCCATGCAACTAACTAGCTTAAGTTTACAAATCACCCCATCAGCCAACACCACGAAGCAACCAAGACACAACCCCAGCTAAGCTTAGGCTAACTTACAATTAGTTGGATACCCCTGCCTTGTATCCATCGACATATTTAAAGATGGATGACATGTCAGCTCTCCAAAAGTGAAGCCAAAACATCTGGATCGCCCTCGGTGGCTGACTGCAATATTGGTCATAAAACCTGCTGCCTCCATGTCAGCAGATGGGACAAACTAAATAATCAAAGTACACGTCAAATACATTTTTCTAAAATATGATTTCTGGGATTTTAGGTAGTTTCCTATCACGCTGATGTATGTTCAAGTGTTCATTTTTGGTTTTAATTAGCTATTTGAAGCTATAAAAAGGGGATTTCACATCATGATTGACAGCTGAGCCCTGCTCGACACTGAGTTGGCTGGGCGTATGGGCGGGACTTCAATACCTCGGCACCAACCATGATCATTACTGCCTAGACTCTGGCTCCGAGTGGGGAAAGATGGCAGAATATCCAGGATATTTTGGCTTCAGTGGTTACAGTGGGAGTGGAGGGGTAACATCCATATTTTATATGGCTACATTTGAATCACTCTTGGCTAGTAGGAAGCAATTGTTCTTCACAACATTACTTGTTAGCTAAAATCAACACTGTCATGATACATAAGTTTATATCATGGATCACATTGGCTTGTGAAGTAATTGCAAACCAACCTAATAACATTTAATGTATTTTGTTAGTGATAATGTTAGCAAGCAAACAAGCTAAGCTTAAGTAACCTGCAACAAAGTAACCTGCAAAAACACCAAGCCAGTCAATTTACCAGGCAGACCAGCCCAGGTACTCAAGACAGTATTCTGCTACGGTACATTAGCTAGCTAGCAAGCAAGCTAACATTAGCCAGCTAAAACTCCAATATATTCCACAAGCTGTACAGTAATGTTAGCTTTGACTTTGGACTTTGTGTCGGTACAAGCCGTTCACAAATTGGCAATAAAAAGTAATTAATACATAAAATAAAATGCTCCTGAATCTATTGCACCCTTATCAAGTCAACTCAAATGAACTTTTTCTCCTCTATGCAATAATGAGATACACTGCAACAGTCCATTAAAACGCTCCAATTAATTCAGAACGCTGCAGCACGAGTACTGACAGGAACTAGAAAAAGAGATCACATCTCTCCTGTACTAGCTTCTCTGCACTGGCTCCCTGTAAAATTTAGAATAGAATTTAAAATCCTCCTCCTCACCTATAAAGCTCTTCATGGTCAGGCCCCTTCATATCTTAAAGAGCTCATAGTACCCTATTACCCCACTAGAACACTACGTTCTCTGAATGCTGGGCTACTTGTGGTTCCTATAGTCTCTAAAAGTAGAACAGGAGCCAGAGCCTTCAGTTACCAAGCTCCTCTCCTGTGGAACCAGCTTCCTGTTGTGGTTCGGGAGGCAGACACCCTCTCCACATTCAAGAGTAGGCTTAAGACATTCCTCTTTGATAAAGCTTATAGTTAGGGCTGGATCAGGTGAGTCCTGAACCATCCCTTAGTTATGCTGCTATAGGCCTAGACTATCGGGGGATTTCCCATGGTGCACTGAGCTCCTCTCTTCCTCTCTCTTTCTGCACTCATTCATGTTCCATTAATGCATGTTACTAATTTCACTTCTTCCCCAGAGTTCTTGTGCTTTCTCGTCTCACAGGTTCTTATCGATCCTGGTGGAGCCTCCTGCCATGGTCCTGTAAGATTGCCATTGCCAATACTGTTGTTGCTGTGCACCTGTCTGTCTGTCTGTCTGTCTGTCTGTCTGTCTGTCTCTCTCTCTCTCTCACCCCAACTGGTCGAGACAGACGACCACCCACCTAGAGCCGAAGGATCTGTCCTAGGTTTCTGCCTTTTAACAGGCAGTGTTTCCTTGCCCTTGTCGCCAAGTGCTTGCTCATGGTGGTACTGTTGGGTCTCTGTAAATAATGTTATAAAGAGTTCGGTCTAGACCTGCTCTATTTGAAAAGTGTCCTGAGATAACTTCTGTTATGAATTGGCGCTATACAAATAAAATTGAATTGAATTGAATTGAACAGTCACTGGGCAAAAGGTATTGCTGAAAGACCTTTTACTAAAGCAAAATAAGAAAATGATAATTAAGAAGGATCAATAATTTAGGTCTGGCTGTGCTCATAAATCAATAAGAATAACCCAGAAAATTCATATTAATTTTGAATGCGACACTGACAGGTTTGCGAGATAGATGCAGAGAAGTTGAAAAGGGCTAATAATTAAAGGGCTTCTACTAGGGCATTGTTTCAATACATTAAAAAGTGGTGTAATGTCTCACAAGGGAATGTTACTGAAGTATATTGTTTTGAGTCTAGAAGCTTAACATTGTGAACTGTTAAATTATTATTGATTATCATAATTTTACTAATATTTTTTATTGCCTTTAATCGAAAGTGACAGCTGAAGAGTGACAGGAAAGGCGTGGAACTCGAACCAAGGGGGACTGCAGCAAGGACTCAGCCTTGGTACATGGCTCTACCAGGTGAGCTATACGGGCACCCCAAATTGCTCCAATTATTATTTTGTGCCCTAAAATGACGCTAAAATGTTCTCACTATATGAGTACGGGCCTTGAATATCTCTATCATGATCTTAAATTACTGAATTAATTCCCTTAATCAGTGAATGCCTCCTTTTTCAGCAAGGAAACACACATACACACACTCACACAGACTAATGGTGTTCGCACAGTTTTTGGATCTCCTCACTAATTAGAAGGTATCCCGACCCATTCTGTTGTCTTTCAGCTCTCTAATTATAATCTGTAACAACAAACAAATGAAGACCTGTACTGAGGTCCAGGGCCTCTGTCTGCTCTCTCAATGAAATAATTGTAGACAAAGAGAGGAAAACACAACCACTACTAACAGATACACACTGCTGTGTTGATGTTGCCTCACTTAAAAAACTGTAAAGCACTCAACTGACATCTTCCACCTTTAAGAAGAGTATGGGCCTCTTGGTTATGATTCGGAGCAGATTTTCTGTCTGCTTATATTGTCGAACAAGGCAGGAAATGAAAAATATGAGCTTCAAGGCAATTTAAGTTGTAGATAAAATGAACCACAATACTGAATTATCCACCGCAGTACAACATGCAAAAAATTGTGTCACCTGTTAAATTGTAACAGGAAAAAGTCATAATATTTGTTTGCTGATGTAAGGAAAAGGTGATTGACATTTAAAAAGACCTTACATGCAGGAACTGTGTGTGTGTGTGTGTGTGTGTGTGTGTGTGTGTATGTATATGTAGGTGTGTGTGTGTGTGTGTGTGTGTGTGTGTGTGTGTGTGTGTGTGTGTTAATGGTAGTGGTTGTGGATATCACCAACCTTGGAAATAACAGCATGCACAATCACTTGCCTGGGACGAAACTTTCATGGGGTGGGGATGGGGCAGGAGTGTGTGTGTGTGATGCTGTTCCAGGTGCACACATGAGCACACTCACCAGTGTCTGTGACTACACAAATCCCCCTCCTTGTAAAATTCAGCATTTTCAGTTACACTCCTCTCTCTTCCTCTCGAAAGATGTATCACACACACTTCACAATTACCACTGGGATTTAACAATCTGCAATTAGCTTCATTTCCTGTGATCATTTTTAAAAAGAAGGGGCCCTTTTCTATTTCTGCCTTGTGGTGGCCTTCTTCAAGCTGAATCCCTAATTAACATAAAGAGCACTTCTTTTCAGCCTAATATGGAAGCTCATAAATAATCCAGAATGAATGGCAGCTCATTTAGTTCCCAGATAAGACATCACAAAGATATCTAATAGAGTGTATATCCTCCAGGTCCTTTCCTCCCCTCAGATAGTTTTTAATTTGTCATTGTCTTATACGTTTTTATATGCAAATTTACACAACAAATACACACACCACTGACAACATCTAACTGTTAAAGACAGGAATGTGTGAACATACTGTGTATGCAGAAAGTTCACAGACGAGCAAACAAAACTTTAACAGGAACACACGCATAATTTATCACACTCTTTGGACTAAACAAACAACTATTTGTTGACTGTTAATTTGTAAACTTTCTGTATATTATATCGTATATGTTGTATTTTAATAAGTTATGATTTTGTACGGTTGCTTCCTTGGCCAAGTCTCTCTTGTAAAAGAGATTTTGGATCTCAATGGGACTCCCTGGTAAGATAAAAGTAAAATAAAAAAATCAAGTAGCAGTCTGGTAAGGAGCAGACACTGTCACATGTAAAGAGGGAGAAAGGAAAAGGGAGAAAGGTAATTGTTAGTTTAAAGTAATATTTGTGGTGGTGGTGAGGTGCAGAAAAGGGGATGCCAG